GGTCCTACCTCGAGCATGTGAGAGGAGCCCCTTGCCAGCCCGCATCCTGTACTGCGGCAGACGTCTTCATCTAACAAATTCCTGTTGTTATGGTGAAGTCACAGAGGGAGCAGGGGGAAAGGTGTTTTCAAATCTCAGCCTCCTCTGGCTCCAGCTTCATATAAGTTACAAGGGCCCTACTGAGGTAAAGTACCATCTGTCCCCATACGCTGAGGCTGCCCTTTGTACCAAAACAGCAGCCTCTTAATGACAAAGTTTAAAGGCACAAGTGCTGAATGGGTGCCTCCTAGAGAAAAGAAGCTGCATGATAATGACCGTGTACCCACCAAATGCAGGCATGTGTCACACGTCTGACAGATACAAATACGTGTGGGCATCTTTTCATGGTCCCATCTCCTCCTGGTGGGAGGACAGAGCCTGGCACACTGTCCTGGTCTCCATCCAGTCATGCCAAAGACCTCTGGTGAGAGTCTGAGTAATTTGCTTAGCCCTTGCTCCTCTTCTGAAAGCAAGTTAACTCTGGGCTTTTTAAACATGCCACATGCTACAAACAACGCATGAAGGAAATTGGGTGTTTGGGGCTTATTGTACTTGAAGATGATAGTTTGTACTCCTTGTTTTGGGGTACAAACTATCATCTTTAAAGACAGAGACAAGCTTTCCTCTGAGTTTCAGGGGTGGAAACCACCAACGTAACATTGCAGAATATGATTTGAGACTTTTTTCTTCCTGGGGATTTTCTGGTGTTTGTTCTGGATTTCTAGGTTTTTTTCTTCATGCCTTTTTTGGGGAAGCTATCTAATACAACTGAGACAGCTTTCACAAAAGTAGATCATGTTTCTAGAGAGACATTCAGCAGGATGCCCAATGCAGCTCTAGGGATGCTTTTAGGAAAGTTCATGTCATTCCCACCCTTATCAGTAAAAGTCACATGCAGATAAAAAGGGAAGAACTGAGACATTTAGTGTTGGATTAGTTCCTCCCAACACACAGAGTGAAAAGTTAGTCCAGGCCTGTTAAAATCCCTCTGCCTTAGAAATAATGAAACTGGTGTACGGTGGTTATCAATGGCTGGATTACTGCCTTCAGTGTTCTAGCTGTATAAACTAAGTATCTTCCTGTTGCTCACAAGCAAAGGAAGAGTGAACCAGGCACTGTTTACGTAGTGCTACAGCTGACATTGTGCAAAATGGAGAGTGCATTTCAACACGGCACCTTCATAGACTCACAAGAGTCCACATGTAACACAAAGATCAGCAGGGTGATACAGGTGCGAGTAAGTATCACAGAGAAACATCACTCATTTGGCTCAAACTCATTCAAACAAGCAGAAAAATAAAGTTTACACAATCCCTATCAGCTTCAACATGCGTGCTGGCACTTGTGATGGTATCTGGGAAAAGCCAGTTTCAGCTATTTTGGCTGGCATTTGAGCAAAGCATCAACACTTTTAAGGACCACAACCAAAGAAGGTTCTTTCAACAGAAAATTAGCAGTGAGTCTGCTTCTCTTGTTTTGTAAAACAAGCAGGGAAGCAGGTGCATGAGGATGTTCTCAGAGGTCCTTTAGCAGGGCTCACAAATATCGCTGTGGTTCCTGGATCTCTTTGTTCCAGCCTGTTGTCTTTCCTTCAGTTTCCTGGTTCATAGCAAGAGCACAGAACAGCACCTCTCTCCTGTCTTCATGACAAAATGAAGTGTTAAGTGACTGGCTTGCAGTGCTTGTCCTGCAACTCCACACCATGTGTCAGTCTAGCTTAAACACTGGCAAGTTCTGTTTACAGCTGTTCTCTCTTCATGTGTGCAAAATGTTGGGAAGCATTGCAAAAAGTACTAACAACTGAGAGACACAAGGTCCCAGTAACAGAATTTAAACTTAAGTGTTTCACTTGTGCAAAACTAATTCAGAAATTATTTAAACATCAGACTCCTTGCTTGTGTGAGGTCTCTTATAAGTGGCTGTAATTAGACTAGAAATGCTGAACAAGCAACAAAAAGCACTGTCGTTTTTGTCAGTAACTTGGACAGTGGGATCAAGTACATCCTCAGCAAGTTTGCCAACAACACCGAACTGTGCAGTGAAGTCGACACGCTGGAGGGAAGTGATGCCATCCAGAGGGACCTGGACAGGCTTGAGAGGTGAGCCAGTGTGAGCCTCATGAAGTTCAGCAAGGCCAAGTCAGCTGGTTAAAACATGGTGCCAATAACACCAAGCTTGTGGGTTCGATCCCTGTACAGGACATTCATTTAAGAGTTGGACTTGATGATCCTTGTGGGTCCCTTCCAACTCGGAATATTCTGTGATTCTGTGAAGTGCAAGGTCCTGCACCTGGTTTGGGGCAATCCCAAGGACAAACACAGGCTGGGGAAAAATGTATGGAGGGCAGCTCTGAGGAGAAAGACTGAGGGGTGTTGGTTGATGAGAAGCTCAGCATGACCCATCAATGTGAGCTTGCAGCCCAGAAAGCCAGTTGTATCCTGGGCTGCACCAAAAGCAGCATGGCCAGCAGGTCAAGAGAGGTGATTCTGCCCCTCTACCGTGCTCTTGTAGACCCCATCTGCAGTGCTGCGTTCAGCTCTGGGGACAAAAGAAAGCCATGGATCTGTTGGAGCAAGTCCACAGCAGGGCCGCAGAGATATCAGAGGGCTGGAGCATCTCTCTTAAGAATACAGGCTGAGAGAGTTGGACAGCTGGGAGAAGAAAAGGCTCTGGAGGGACCTTATAGCACCTTGCAGTACCTAAAGGGGGCCTGCAAGAGAGCTGGAGAGGGACTTTATATAAGGGCATGTAGCGAGAGGACAAGGGGAGAATGGCTTTGAGATGAAAGAGGATGGGTTTAGATTAAATATTAGGAAGAAATTCTTCACTGTGAGGATGGTGAGGCACTGAAACAGGTTGCCCAGAGAAGCTGTGGATGCGCCATCCCTGGAAGTGTTCAAGGCCAGGTTGGATGGGGCTCTGAGCAGCTTAGTCTTGTGAAAGGTACCCCCGCCCAGGGCAGCAAGGTTGGAACTAGATGATCTTTAAGATCCCTTCCAACCCAATTCATTCTACGATTCTATGAAACTGGGTGGCAGCACCAGAGGAGGAAGAACAATAATCATGGAACATTGCTAAACTGTAGAGTGAGGAAAGGACACAACGGTAGGGAGGGGACACTGCTGTTGTATCATTTCCACTGGCAGTGGAGAGGTATTTCCACACATGTAATGTATACATGTAATAGTGTTCAAACACATTTTTACTGGTTACTGTACGGTTAAATACTTTGCTACGTACAATCACCTCCTGTTGAATCTCTGCCTGAGATAACCTGTGGGTTATGGGACCTTCTTTCTCATGTCCAAATCTCATCTTTGAACTTCATTTTACCTGGCAGTCACCTCTGATGTTTTATTTCAGTAAAGGAAACAGGCATATTTTGTTTCAGAAAATACAATGTTGTTTTCTTGTACTTTCATTTCAGCAACCTATGTGGAAGTGGTCAAATCCTCTGGATTCCAGAAAACTGATTCCCGTAGCCCCACGTTCCACCCAGTTGACTTGAGGTAGAATCAATTAATCTGTCAACAGTTCTTAAACCATCACAAAGTTACCACACCAGTTAATGAGGGAGAGGGCAAAACAAAAATATAATAAAAACAAAAGTATAATGAAGACAGCTTCCCATTTTTGCTCAGCTTGGTAAAGCAGATAGGAATCTGAATTGCTAAAACAATTTTCTGCCTTTCCCTCTGTGGTGCTACTAGTAGTTACTGTGTCAAAATAATTTCCTCCTTTTCTTGCCCCTTGCTCTCAAAAACATTAAAAAATAGGAAGTTCAAGCTAATGTTAAGAACTGAAGCTTAAAACAAGACTTCCCTGCCAAAAGTACTCTTATGTTTTAGAATACATACAGCATTCAAAGTTTCTCCCCTGCATCAGTATTAACAATGTGCATTTTAATAAATTGCTTACCATAAATAATAATAGTAATAATAAAATAAATGCTAGGGGAAAAAAAATCCCTCAAGTTTCATTACAGCTGTGAATACCAGAAGTGGGAATTTATGTACAAATGCTAACTACACAGCAGCTTAGCTGGCGGCTTTATTTCATAGAATCACAGAATGGTTTGGGTTGCAAAGGGATCTTTAAGATCATCTTAAAGATGATCAACCCCCATGCCATGGACAGGGACACCTTCCACTAGATCAGGTTGCTCAAGAACCCCACCCAACCTGGCCTTGAACACCTCCAAGGATGGGTCATCCACATCTTCCCTGGGCCACCTATTTCAGTGCCTTACAACCGTCATAGTAAAGATTTTTTTCCCAATATCTAATCTAAACCTACTCTCAGTTTGAACCCATTCCTCCTTGTCCTGTCACTACACGCTCTTGTACATAGTCTCTCTCCATCTTTCTTGCAGGCTCCCTTCAGGTCACCCCAAAGCCTTCTCTTTTCCAGGTTGAAAAATCCCAGTTCTTTTAGGCTTTCCTCATAGGAGACGTGCTCCATCCCTCTAATCATCTTGGTGGCCCTCCTCTGGGCTTGGTCCAACAGGTCGGTGTCCTTCGTGTGTTGGGGACGCCAGAGTTGGATGCAGTACTCTAGGCGGGGTCTCACCAGAGCACCAATTATATATTTAATACATAATTACCATTACCATCACCAGTAATGATGGTAATGGTAATTATGTATTAATTATAGATTAATAAAGACAGTCTGAAAACGATCTCGCGTACCACGGTGCCACCTTCAGGGAACCCGTGACGTGGCTCTCGCCGTCATGCGCACACCGCGTCGTGCACCACTCGCTTTCCCACGGCGTCGCGGCCCGTCCCCGCTTTTCCCATGGCGGGGTTCACCCACCTCCCCGGCTCCGGCTGGGATGCTGCCCTGGCGCCTCGCCTGCCGCGCCCCGTGACCGCGGCGAGCGGGGCGTTGCCGGCGGCGGGTCCCGCCCCGGCCGTCGCCCCGGCGACGGGGCAGAGCGGCCCGGCCGGGAGAGGCGGCGGGCGGAGCGGGGGGCTCGCCGGGGACCGCCCGGTGGCACCGCCCGCAGCGCCGCGGTGAGTGGGCGGCTGCGCTCGGGGGCGACGGGAAGGGTGGAGAGAGGTGGGTCTCCTCGTCACCCGGCGGCTGGGTCGTCCTGGGGGTCCTTCCCAGGATGCGGGAGGTGCCGGTTTAGGATGGAGCGGGAACAGCCCCGGGGGCTGTTATCTATCCCTGAACAGGATGGCTGCTCCCTGCCCCCAGGCTGGTTTGGGGTGGGCCGGCTCGCTGGTGGGCTTCACTCGCGTGTATAGGGAGCTGTCCTGCTGTAGTGCTGGGGTTGGGAGAGACGGCGCTGCGTGGGTGTGGAGCCTGCAGAGAGAGGGATCCTGCCTGCTTTGACTTCAGTAGGTCAGGTCCGGGCCTTGATGGACTGAAATGCCCAGGGTTAACGACAGAAGGTGAATTTTCATTTTTGGAGAACCAGGGTGAAACTTGTAGGCCGGGTGGTGCTGAGTTGCATAGCCGGGGTGAGCACGAGGAGTGCTGAGCTCCCCTTTCTGCTGTGAGCGTGTGTTAAGGAAGGTACTCTCTTGGGAAGTGACTGAACGTCATCAGGTGAAACTAAAGTGGAAAGAAGCGTTTGTTTCCATTCTCAAGACTGAGAGGGGGATCTCATTAATGCATAGAAATATATATAAAGGCAGGTGCTGAGAGGATGATGCCAGACTTTTTGGTGGTGCTCAGTGACAGGATGAGGAGCAGTGGCTGTAAGCTAAAGCACGGAAAGTTTTACCTCAACAAGAGGAAGAACTTCTTTTTGTTGAGGGTGGCAGAGGACTGGAACAGGCTGCCAGTGGAAGTTGTGGAGGCTCCCTCTCTGGAGATATTCCAAACCCACCTGGATGTGCTCCTGTGTAATGGTGGTTGGACTAGATGATCTTCAGAGGTCCCTTCCAACCTTAACAATTGTGTGAATCTGTGATTTATTGAAACTTACAGTGGTGTGGAGATGCTGAAAGATGAATAGTTCATGTTCCTTCTGGACACTGTGCAAGGCTGGAGACTTCAAGGTCCAGCAGCACTGAAACCATTGCTGTCCTGAAACTTGCTGTACTACTCACTGCATCGCAGGAAGAGGTTTCATGAGGGTGGGAAAAGGTAGCCTTGCTGTCATGGATGAAACATCCTGAGAAAGTTGTTGTGAATCATTTTGGTTTGAAACCAAAGCTGGTTTGGAAGAAAACAAGGGAAAATACTCAGAGCAGACTCGAATTCTTCCTTTTTGATGTGCCCTATCCTAAAGGCCTGATTCAAACAAATGAAACAATATACTAGACTTTTGAAGAGACTTTTAAAAAAAATTACTTAAGACAGTCTATTTAAAAGTACAAATATTTACTGTCAATGCTATTGACTTCTTTCTTGCAGCTGAGAGTCAGGCTTTTAAATAACTGCTGGTCTTTGATTAGAGTAATGGATTTGCAGTAATCTCCAGAACTGGATCCACCTGTCATGGGATCTGATTACTGTCAGCTTTAGTAATACACAGTCACTACCAAGAAGGCTCTTGTAGCACCAAATTGTTTGTTGTTTAATGGTTGAGTTTGGGTTGTTTTTTTTTTTTTTTTACTTTTAAAATTTGTATCAGCATACATTCTGTACTGTGCAGTACTGCCAGTTTTGATCATTGAGAATAGTACCATCCTCTCCGAACACTTTTGGCGATTTTGGGATTACTGTAAACAGGTTGGTGAGATTGAGTTGTGGGTGTTCTGCTTATCTGTGTGGGAGGTCTTTATTGGGTCATATATCCTAGTTTCTGTTTATTTGAGAGTAGCCTGTTTAGCATGCAACTATGAAATGGTTGGTAACGTGCAGTGCTTGTACAGAAGAAATGCAGGTGATTTGCTGTTATTCATTGCATTTTGAAATGTAATTCAGACAACTAAAACAATTTCAAATTGTTGCTAGTGCTTAAAGCACCATTAATATAGTCAAAGTGAAATTCTGCTTAAATTACTTAGTATTTGTTCAGATCCTCTAAATTTACACAAATTATAGATTCTGTCAAGCTATTGTATTTTGTCCTCTATTTGTCCTTTGCTTTAATCTTTCCTTAATCCTATGTGAAGAGATTATGCACAGTGTGTCCTTAAGAGTATAAAACAAGCTGTTGTTTAGAGTAGGATTTCTCCTTCCAGTTTGGCAGCTGACTATTTTGATAATTTTACATTTTAGAGCTTCATATCACTGGGGAAATAATAGTATATAAGCATTACAATGGGAAAGGCCACTTCAGAGGCTTGTGCTAACCAGAAAAACTAGACTGAGCCCTTGCTTTCCCTCAGGTTGGTAAGAAAGAGAAAACTGAACTGCACATTTGAAAAACACAATATAGAGAGACCACTGAGAAAAAAAATTCTCACCTGAGCTGGGTACATGTGGTTTAAAGTGCAAAGTATGCAGAAGTCTGTAGTGAAATGTGAATCTCTAGAGCATTTAGATTCTAACTCATTGTACTCTGTAACTCCAGTAAAAGTGAAAGAAGCCTCTGACCCTGATGTCAGATCAGGCTGAAAAATGCAAGTGCTTGGCAGCCTCCTTTGTTCTAATATGGGTGGGCAGTGGCAGTAAGTTTTGCAGGAATCAGTGCTGCCTTTTTTTGGTCAGCAAACCTCTGTCACCCTCCAGCATTTCCTACAAACTATGGTGTGCCATAACATTGCTGTAAATTTGACCACTTAGTATCCAAAGAACCCTATCAGGTTTTTTAGATACATGTGTATGATGGATGTATTCTCTTAAAAGCTGGAAAAGAGCTTATAGTCGAGTGTGATAGCTGCAGTCCATTTTTTCCCACTGCATTTGGCTAGTTTTCATTTGACGATGTCTCACTGTAAGAGTTCCATTGTTTGCCTTTCTTTTGTGAACTGTAAGTGCCAAGACAACTCTTTAATGACAGTCAATAGTGGAATGGCCCAGTGTGCATCATTGTGGTGGTAGGTATGCAGTACATAGACATTGTTACCAGGGTACATAGTTTTCACACCTTGTTTTGTGCATTTACATAGAGTAGATTTGACACTTCCATTTGATTATCGAAGGAATGTGTTGACTTTTCTATACTTTACTTGATTAAGTGTTTTTGTGCCCTGAAAATTACAATATACAGGAGAAAAGGAATAAGGAAATAAAATATATTACAGAACAGGCTAAATGCACAATCACACACCCAATACAGAACTTCTGGAGGGGAAATTACACAGAACTTCTGGAGGGGAGAACTACTTTATGTGATGTTGTTTCAAGGGCACATGCCAAAATATTAGAATTGGACAAAAGGAATAATTGTAAGAGCACTTGATTAATATATACTCCAAAGAAAATTACTTGGAAAGCTGGTAGGGTTTAGGCACCAAAATTAGAGGACTTAAAGGTTAAAACTTGAGAGCTGTGTCTAGATCTGGGTCTGTTTATTGCATATACAGAGGTTTTCATCTTGGTTTTTTTGGTTTGCTTTGTTAGAGAGCAAAAGATTGAAAATGAAATGTGTGCAAATTCTCCAGATTTTTAATGTAACTTCAGGAGTTCAAGCTAGGGCCATCTTTGGCAGATATTGCTAAATCCCCTCCAAAAAACATGCCTTAAGCAATGTACAATGATATTTGTTGAAATGGAGAAACACAGGCACCCAAAATTTGTTACATTTAGGTTTACTTCACATTATATGTCTATGTATACCTATAAACAAAATGAATACACAGTTTATCATTGATGATGCTTTAAATGTGATGCTGTGTTTTAAAATGGGTATAAGAATACCTTCAGAATGTTTTTATGTTGATCTGGTTTTTTAATATATACATAAAACCAAAATTTGACAACTTGCAAGATGGACATGCAAAATATATCTTAACTTGGAGTAAACACTTGATCATCTGCTTATTACTGGAGTAAAAAAAATAGTCTTGTTGAAGAAATGGCAATATTGAAAGTATTAAAGACTTCAGTGTGTGCAGGCATTTTGGGGAACGAGATATAAAGCTGAACTCTGAGAAAAAAGCAATAGGCTTAAATATATGAAAGTCCAATTTAAAATCTAGTTACAATTTGAGATGTCTATGACTGTTACTTTTTGTTAAATCTGCTTTTTAGCTTTGTTTCAGAATATGCTATTAACCAGAAATCATATTTTACTATAGCGATGGCTTTGGAGGGGAGGTGTAGAGGGGGGGGTGTAAAAACATCTTTGTATTTTTCAATGCCAAAGTGGTGGTTGTCTGGTGCAAAGATTATAGACTGAGATGTCCACTAAGTCACTTGGTACTGGCATCTTGACAGCTGATGTGAGATTCCTTCCTGGCAACAGAAGCAATAAGAGTAACAGTGTGTGTTACAAGTGCTCTGAGGAAGCAGCATTTCAACTAATAATAGCTTAGAAACATTGGTCTACTGTTTAGGCAGATGTTTACAGAGCAGGCTAGTCGACTTGAGAATGCATTGTTCACACTCCCGAGAAGCCAGTTTTAATGTTAAATTTTGCCAGGCCTGTAAATCTCAAGACTGAGGCTTGTTATCAGCTGAATTTGAGTTCCTTAATCTGTTTGGACAGGACAGCCTGTAGCTAATTCTGGCATAAGGCTAAGGAGTACAGAGTTGCATGCTGAATTCTGCATCTCCTATAAAGGTAGGCTGACTGTTTGTTTCATTGACTTGAGCTATATTTTGTGTTTTCAGACTACAGAGGCAAAAGGTAGAGACAATGCTATTACTCAGCATTCAGTGGTTTGTTTGTGTGTTGGCATTTGGGTTATGGTGAGTAAATGGTACAGTGATTTACTGTTAGTTTTTCCTAGACTTGCATAAATAAGTGGATGACTACAGTGAGTTTGCCTGAGTGCCTTAACGTCAGTTTTTAGGATTGTGTCCAAAGTGCAGCCAGTGCTTGGCTGGAATTTAGGATTTGTGCATAGGACCTATGGCAGCTGGCCCTCATCTGACACACTGGTGATGGTATTGTGTATAATGAAACCTGGGGTTCAGATTCAAGTTTGGATCAGGATTCAAATTAAGATTTACATATATTCAAAGATGATCATTCAGCATTGCTCAGTGTGAATTCTTCTCCGAATGATAATTCAGATTTAGTCTTTTACACCAATGCACGAGAACTCTATACTTCTCTCTGCAGGCCTTGTAAAACTGAAGAATAAACTTAACTCTTCAGCAATTACCATGTCTAAGAATTATGGGAACTTCAGAGCAAGATATCCAAGTACATTTACAACAATTCAGTTTACCTTAGTGAAGAATGAAGTGGTTATCTCACTGCTTTACCTCCCTTCCTCACTAACTTTTTAAGCATAGAAATCCTGCTTTCACTACCAATCCAAAATAGTGTTGAGACCCTAGGTTTACCATGGCACCCTGTGCAAAATTTGGGTTTTTATGTTATCCAAAACTTAAACTGTGCCTTTGTTACAGATCAGGAAGCTGCTACTGTCTGCAAATTCAGAGTAAGGAGTTCCATCAGAATACACCAGCCTTAAACACACTTCCCTTGTTCTATGGAATAATGACAGTAATCTTAGCTCTCCAGTCTCTGCTTACTCTGACCCTAATCATACAGTAGGTACTTTCTGTGATTTGAAGGATTTAAAGGAACCAGTGACAATCAAGTATTCTATTTAAAGAACACATACAGTTCTGGAGGGGTAGTTTGATACAAAAAGTAGTGTCTCTTTTCTAAAAGCTTGGAAAATTATGTAGTTTCCTTTTTTTGTTGTTTTTATTTTATTTTAAGGATCTATGTGAGAATGACCATGTTCTTGTGTCTCTTATACTTCATATCTGGATCTCAAAGTAGCTGTAGTTTGGGGGAGACCAGTGAATATCCTGCTCCGTTATGAGAAGCATTCACCAACATAAAGCAATCTGGAAGAAGATTTCTCTTAAGAAAATCAAAGAGCATAGAATCCTTTAATAAAGCAGAAGACATTGAGAATTTCATGAGCTTTTGGCTATCCAAGTCTTAAAAGAGATGAACCGTTACACAATTATGAAACAACTGGGTGATGGCACCTATGGCAGTGTGTTGATGGGGAAGAGCAACGAGTCAGGAGAACTTGTGGCTATCAAAAGGTATGTAGCATCTCAATTCAGTAAAGGTACTTGCAAAATCTTAAAGATTTTCACTTCTAACTTTATCGTTGTCTTTCATTTGTGTAGGATAGAAAAAATGTCCCTTTTTAAAAGGAACTTAACAAAATTATTTTTTTTAATTAAGGTGTTTAATAAGATGCTTGTGAGTCAGACTTCAGCTAATATCAGTTTAAGTTACTGATTTATCTTGGCTTATAAGATTGCATGCTGTTTTGTTCAGTTTGAATATGCTTTCTTCTAAGAATGTTGTTAGGCTAACACCAAAGGAGAAGCAAAACTGAATGTGCAGTTGATTAATTAGGGAGTTTATTTATATGACTTGTAAGAATACCAGTCTTAATGGGTAGATTTAAAATACCTTCCAACCCCCTAATATTTGTAAATACTGCATTAAGTTTCATGTGTTGCTACAGTGATAAATAACAGCAACAATCTGACCAGGTAAATAAAGGCTGTCTCCTTGGATCTAATGAAGTTGTATTATGTGTAATCATGAGCTTTGTCATACTTGCCTTAAAAGATGATTCCAAAACAACAATTTATTAGAGGAATGGGGAAGTTCCACGTGAAATTCCTAGGGAATTGCAAGCAGAATATAAAGCATAAATTGAAATACCAGAAATTTTATCTTGCTGAGACTCTTTTTCCTTATTCATGGATTTACTGCACTGAGTTAATTGTAATATAATTTACTGACTTTCTCTTTAAGAATTTCTGAGAATTTCAGGTTTCTCCATATCTTGCTAGTACTGTTACTGAAGTTAATATTAATCTAACCTAAAGAGAACAAAATCTCCAGTTGATAATTTTTATTATTTTTTGCAAAAGGAACAACATTTTGTTTGAAGTGTTTTTCATTCTCATGATTTCAGGATGTGGAATTCTTCTGTGTGATTTTTAAGTTTGGGATTTGAGAGGAGACAGTTTTGGTTGAAGATACGTTTATTTTGAATGAAAATCTTGGGTTTAAATCTCTTCGCTTTAGGTGCTAGAACTTTACAGAAACACCACAGTGACATTCACAACCCTGTCCCAAGATCTGAGCAAAACCAAATATCCATATCTGGATGTATGCAAGACATACAAATAAATGTATTACACTGTTATGTACAACAATTAGTTTAGAGGCATATGTATGTATACTGTTGCCTGAAAAAAATGAAACTTTTTTTTTTGTAATTAATACCTTGGAACAGATTTGTAAAATGACTGGTCAAGTTAGATGCTTAATTATAATGGTAAGCAGTCCAGACACCTTGCAGATTTTAAAAGTATAATTTTTTTGTTTCCCTAGAATGTGCAACTTAGGCATAAGGATGTGATTTTCCATGTTTTACATACAGTGTCATCATTGCTTACCATATTATTAAGAGCATAACTCCAATAATACAAAGGGATTTTGTGTCCCTTATACTTTGGAGTAACATGGTCTCTGGCTGTACTTCTCTAAAAGTATGTTTTGAGTGTTTGATGATTAATCACTGCAAATTTATAGCAATTCTAAGTGTTGAGCTGGTTTTTAATAATATTGCTGATGGGTATACTTGAATTATTTAAATTGAGGTCGAAATACAGGTAATGCTGCACTTAGGAAATAACATGTTTGGGTTTTTTATTCTAAAAGCATTCTGTACTGTTCACTGAAAATATTTTATCTCGGAATTGTATTTCAGAATGAAAAGAAAGTTCTATTCATGGGATGAATGTATGAATTTGAGAGAAGTCAAGGTAAAGTCGTGAACAGACCATGTTTAAAAATAAGTGTCTTGTTAGGCTTGCATGAAGGAAAAGGGCAGCTGCAATGTCCAAGCATAAGGCCAAACTCTTTAAATGGCAACAGATTTCACAAAACCATGGGCTGCTCTTACTTTTAGAGGTCCTGCTGCTTTGTGGAATACCCTACTATTCTCAAGCAGTGGCCATGTCTCACAGCCAAACCTCTTGTCTCTGAGAGAAGATAAAGAAATTGGTTTTGTATGTGTGTATTCCTGTGGCTGACTATCCTGCTCTTTCATTTTATTTGCAGATTTCTAGGTATATCTCCATTCTTTATATCTTGCATTTGGGGCATTTGTAGAAAACACTGGGATATTTGGCTAGCCAAGGGATAGAATAACACTTGAAATCCTGGGCTTAAATTCTGTATTTTGGGCATCTGGGCATTTTCTGTATATACAAAACTCCCTAACAAAGGAGTTTAGATTTAACTTATTGGAGGTTTCGCATAATCAGTATATCCAAAAAGTACATCCATAAGAAAATCCTTGTTCATTAAAGTCTCATGCCAAAAAGGAAAAAAAAATGAATGCTGGGGTTTTATTCAGTTCAGTGAGCAAGAGCTGTTACAGCTTCAGATCTGTCTTTCATTGTAGGGAATTAGGTTTTTATGCTAATCTTCACTCCAGCTCTGATGTAATCCCTACAAATAGGTTTAAACTACTATTAATATAGTTGTTGGTTTTATTTTGAAATTAAACTGCTATTTTGTTGTTCTTTGAAACAGACATTGTGAGATAAGTAACAGTATCAGATGAACATGTTTTGTGTTCTGTACTAGAAACTTACATGTTAAAAATTTAGTTCTGATAAGGAATCAAGGTCACCGTGGAGTTATCTGAAGCCATATTTTGCTCTGTTACAGTCTCTGAAGAAGCTAAACCATGCCAATGTAATAAAATTGAAAGAAGTCATACGAGAAAATGACCACCTTTACTTTGTATTTGAATATATGAAGGAAAATCTCTATCAGTTAATGAAGGATAGGTATGTCTTTTTTCACAGAACAAGCAATGTGCTATCATGTTTTATTTAATGATTCTCATACTACTTTGAAGACCACATTGGAATTTCTGGTTTTGGCTCTTCTTGCAGCCCTATTGATGTTCACGGGAGTTGCTGCACCTGCTTACCTGAGGGTAGAATTCTGCATTGCTCTGAGTTACAAGATTGCATATTTTAATGCTTTTGGAAATAAGTTTGATCAGTTGTTAACATGATAGTTTGCATGCCTTTGTGTAGACTCATGAGAGAAATTCCAAATACTTTTTTTTTTTCTTTAATAACCTTCACTTTAATGTATGAAGGATTGGATAAGCACTGTTCATTCTACTTTTGCTCATGGGTTTGGCTTAATGTGGGGATGCTTATGTGCGTGTACATGCATAAAACCAACCTATATATAGGTTAACACTGATGTTGCCATCTTGGACAAACAGTACGTAGCAAGACTTGCAAGGTGGACTTTGGAATAGGATCCGTCTTTGCAGTAACATCTTTCTTTGCAGAATGCTTTTGCCTTTAATGTGTGTCTCCTTCTGACTTTGTCATGCACTTTTACCTCCTAATGTGCCGAGCTCTTGGGCTGATGTCCTGCGATAGCTGCTAGCGATACTAGCACAGAGTTACTTTGCAGCTGAGCAGCACTGCTCTCAATCAGGGTTCCCTTAAGGGTACCACTGGGTGACACCCCTACCAACAGTGCTCACTGTGTGATGTCTGCCTCGCTGCGTTACTGTGCATTCCATGTTCACCTGGTCAAGCACACTGCCAGCCAGCCAGCTTCTACAGAGGGATAGGATCATGAACCTCTCAGCAGAGAAGTTCCTCTGCAGCACTTACAGTGAGTGAAACTAAGGTCTGGTAGAGTTTTGAAGTGAGCTAGCTGAATATGTCTTATTTTTGTGCACAAGACTTGATGTGTCATGCAAAATGAGGAAATGGGTGTGTTCTGAAGATACATTATTTTTTCTTAATTACATGAAGTTGTTACTCTGTTTCTTCACAGAAACAAGTTGTTCCCTGAGTCAGTCATCAGAAACATGATGTATCAGATATTACAAGGGCTGGCTTTTATCCACAAACATGGTAGGTTTCATACTAGAGTTTAATTGTGTTGCACTTTTTTTTTAGAAAAGAAGATCATGTGTAGAAATAACATGAATAAAAATATCTAGCAAAGGCTATTAATTATCTCTAATAAAATATTCTTATCTGTTTCAAGTATGGTGCAGTTTTAAACCATGCCTTGTTACTCTTTGTTTTCCTATAATTGGATTTTCCTCTTTCTTTTGGAAAGCATTGGATGTTGTTCATACAATGTTCAGTAGTTCTTTCTACCTTAGCTACTAGATGAATAAACAAACTGTAGAAACTTTTATGCTGTGCTATACTAAACAATTCTGCTTCCTCAGAAAGATCTAATCAAGGAGCATTGATACATCAATACTTTTGTGTTCCAATACTATAACTAATAGGATACCCTACATATAAAAAATACTAATATAACTTGTTAATTGAGAAATTCAAACAATATCCTTATTAAATACAATCTGAATTTATTTAATACAATCTGAATATATTTTAATAGAAGGGCTGTTTCTAGGAATTACAGGCACGGTCTAAATTAGAGGTGCAGTGTGCTCACAACAATAGAAAGTTTCACAGAGTTTGCAAACCTCTTAATTAGCTGAAAATGAAATAAGAAACCATGTTCCCAGTGACATCTGATTGACTTTCATGTACCCCGATAAGGCCTGTTGATGAATTCAAATAAATAATTAGTTCTGTTCAGTATTATCAAATACCCAGAAATTGCCATTTTCTTGTCTTTCTGATCAAGATCATATACTGTTCTCTGATTGTTAGCATCCTCTTTTCCTTCCCCATTTCTCCATGAAATCAATGAGAAAATTAGATTTTAAGAAAAACTTCAAATTTTAAGGTACGATATTAATATTTTGATTTGACCATGTTAGGGGATAAGAATATGATAAATCCGAATATTTACATTTCATTGTAATAGTTTCAGCCAGCTTCTTAGAGTGGTTTTCAATTTGTGCACGCAGAAGTTGAATGCTTTATTCTAGTAAGTGAATTTCCAACAAGTTAATGTATAATATAACAAATTGTGTGTTCCAATTAATTAGTAGAATTGATTTGCTTAGCAACTTAACCACTGCCCAACTATAGAGGTGCTCAAGCCAACAGCAAGCACTGAAGAAACTTTATGTGCCTCATTACTGATAATTAGTGTTCCTGAGCAGAATTTGCATCTCTTTTATATGTCTGTATCTCCAAGTTGTTGTCAGAATGATAAGTAACTATTAAAAAATCATTCAAGGAATTTTATGAATCAAGTAAGTGTGTCAGATGCTCAATTTTTCCATTATCCAAAACTGAAAAAGCAGTTGTAGCTTTTGCAAAAGATTTCATTCTGAAATTGGTTTGGTGCACAAACTGATGTTTCTGCAATAGCCAAGTCATTTTCCTTAGTGTGCTCATGACTGTTTACATTTGTTAATTTAAGAACACTTGGTGTAATATTCACTGGAGGGAAAATGTGTGCACTTGTTGGGGGAGGGCTACAATTCTTTTATGTTGAATTTATATTAAAAAATATAAAGAAAAAAAAGACAGGAAATATATTCTTCTAAAACATCCCAAAGTAAATATTGGATTATTCTATTAGAAGGTGCTGCTTAAGAAATGATTACATGATGATTTGCCACTCTTTTTTGTCTGATCCTCTACAGGATTTTTTCATAGAGATATGAAGCCTGAAAACCTTCTCTGTATTGGACCAGAACTTGTGAAAATAGCAGACTTCGGTTTGGCTAGAGAACTAAGATCTCAGCCACCTTACACAGATTATGTTTCTACCAGGTGGTAAGTATTTTAAGAATTTAATACATTAGATTAACTAATTACCTTTCTATTACCACTTTAATTTATCTGTTATTTCCTTCCATCCTTATAGGTACCGTGCTCCTGAAGTTTTGCTGAGATCATCTATCTATAGCTCACCTATTGATATGTGGGCAGTTGGCAGCATAATGGCTGAATTATACACACTAAGGCCTCTTTTCCCAGGCACAAGTGAAGTAGATGAAATCTTCAAAATTTGCCAAGTACTGGGGACTCCAAAAAAGGTAAGACTTAAAAAGACTCTTACAGTTGTATTTTTAAAACAAACAAATTTTTACAAAACTTTGTGGTATCTATATTTCAGAACCTACATATTAAATTATTGGTTTAGTAAGTTTCCTGAGGCTTAAGGTTTTCTCAACCATATTTCATTTAAGCTTCCATTATGGCATGTAATGCTAGTCCTTTGTTGTATATTAGCATCTGTTGTGGATCATACATTATGTGTAGCCTTGTTCTCCTCTGATGAAAGCCAGATAAAATTGTTTAATTTAGTTATTTAAAGCTATTCATATTGGAAAGCAAACCAGAAGTCTCCCAGGATTTCATTTGCCACAGCCAATTTGCTTTCCTTTCCTGAAAGTGCAGTTTTTCTGTGGTGGCACCCAGAATTTAGAGCTAGTAGAAGATATGATAAATAAGACAAATTATGCTTTTCTTTTGAATTTGATCTCAAACACAGATGTCTCATTACTTCTTATTAGCAATAAGAAGTAATGGAGGGAAAATGTGCAGTCTTCTAGAGAGGAAACAATGTTTTTCAGTTACTTTCTGGATGGGATAAATACTATTTTAAATTACAAGGAAGGTTTGGTTAGGGCATATAAAATGTATGCAATTATATCTATTTCAGTTTAAAGTTCTTTTAGCAAATGAGTATGTGAACATGCAAGAAAAGGATAAGCTTACCTTCAAAATTTTGAATAAACTGAAAAAAAGACCATATACAATTAAATAATTTTGGAGACAGGTAAGAATTGGCAGATGTCTGTCAGTACTTTATGGATGCAAACAGATCTTGGTGATGTAACTGACTGACCAGAGTCTCTAGATCTGGGAAAACCTAAGGGTGAGAGAGAAAAATCAGTTTCATTAGTGTTCTACTGATATAAAATATAGTATAACTCTTGTCTAGTAATGGAGCTGTTATCGATAGAGAAGGAACTGAAAACGTAAAACAGAAATAGATTAAGCTTAGCTAGGAACATGAAGAGCTTGAAAGTGGTGGGAAGACATCCAAGAGAACATACTGAGAAACAGGTGCAAACTCATGACAGAGCAGAGGATAAAAGGTCAAGTGGAGAGTTACAGATGGTATGTTGTGGAAGAGAAACTTGACTCTAGAAGACTAAGTGAAAATTGGTATGATGTGTAAAACAGTGCTTGCCATGACACAGTTATGCATCAAAATAATGCGGAATATAAGTAGTATTTTAGGACTTGTGTTTTCAAATGCAGATGTGAAGTTTCTTAAGCGGATCACAAGTCTAGGGTACTAAGAAGAACATTTTGATGTATATTAAGAATACCTGTGAAAGAGAGTAACCTTCTAGCTTCTGGCACATTTTCAATGTATAACATAAACAGCATAGAATTCTGGAAGTGCAGGGAAAGGTTGTCATTTTGTAGAGCAATAGCTGAGCAGCACTGAGCTGACCGCTGTGTTTTTTCTCTAACCTTACAAGTAGTTAACAGAAGCAAATTATGACTGTTTAAAGTGTCATTCCCTGACTAGGAAGGTTATTGCTTGGGAAAGCAGGGAGCATTACCAGCTGAGTATTTCAGAGAAAACTGTAGCCTCCAATAAAGACCCTAGGGGTTAGAGACAGCGTAAGTCAGCCCTCTGGGATCAGGAAGCTGTAATTAGTTCCTTTGTGCCCCTGTCATCTGATGGGCAGACTTGGGAATTTTCTCTTGTTACCACAATGCAAAAGGCATTCTTCAGGGAGATCACTGTGTAAGAGGAGTACTTAAATATTATTATAGGAATTATCACAACAAATAATGCATTTGTTTCAAGTGAAGTACTGTTCTGCATTCTGAAAAACAGAAGTAGTTATTTTAATAGTGTGATTTTGCAGATAGTTTTACAAATAGTATTTTTTTCAGACACAAATTTTGATTAATTCCATTATCCCACAATAAAGAATTACAGAAATTATGCACAATAGTTCCTTCCAGTTTGCCTTCCTGTGTTTAAGGCCATGATACCGTACTAATGACTTCTGTGAATCTGGGTGTTTTAAATAGTGACAGGCAACTATTTTGTTTTATTTTATAAATTACATTGCTTTATTTATTTTATAAATAAATTGCACCATTCAAGTACTGGCAGTGATGGTGCACTTCTAATTTTATTTTTTTTTTATAAAAATATATTTTTCATTTTTGCTCTTATACTGTTTTCACCGTATCCCTATACTTCACCAGTTCAACATTCAGCCCTTGGTACTTCATTGTAAACTGTTCCTTTATCACTACTTCTAGAAGACAGAATGTCACCAAATCCAACAAAGGAGGACAGTGCAGTGGAGGAGGAAAGAAGCTTTCTCCATTAATTTAAATGAACAAACTATTCTCTGAGGTGGAATAGGAAGTCACTTGAAGTCTTGAGACTTATTTTAACCAGATGTGGTTTATAATTATATTTGAGTTCTTCGGTCACCATGGGCTGTGCTAACAGAGCTAATACTGTTGTACATAAAAAGATGTGTAACAGCTAACATGGTATCTTAAGACCAAATTCTGTCAAATCAATCCAATTTGCCCTGTAGCAGAGTAATAGGCTTGGTGGATAGAGGAAAAGCACTAATATCCTACATTGTCTTCAGGAAGGCTTCTGATGCTGTTCCTCACATTTTCATCAGCATATATATATACAAACTGTACAAGTGCATACCTGTTTTGAAGGCCTTCTTCAGAGAGTAAACTTCACTGGTTCTCATTCAAAATGAAAGATAGATTGAATAGAACTCATGAGTGGTTCTGCATCTGATGAAATTTTTGAAATTGAATTGAAGTCCTTCAGGTGGAATAGATTTTACTTCTTAAGTTGGTAGATAGGCTGAGAAGGATTGAGAATGTTAGAAAATGAGATTGGAATTTAGAGGGTTTTTTAAGTAAAACTAGAGATGTAGCTTTAAAGAAATTTTTTCAGTAATGTGTTGAGTGCTGTACTTAGGCAGGAATAATCCGTTACATAAATATCTGTGGATAACTATCCAGCTAACACATCTGTAGAAGAGGCCATAGGAGATATACAGTGTATTTTATGTCAACAGTATTTTGTTGCAATAAAGACAAATACCGTACCAGTGTGTAGAGAAAGGAGTATTGCTCATGGACATATGAACTAATCTTTCTGTTTCACTTGCTATATTACATCCAGTTTAAAGTTTCCCTTTTCAAGAGAGAAAGATCAGAGTCTAGAGAAGAAATAAAACTTTACAAGCCTAGACCCAGGAATTGTTTGGGTTTCTCTAGCCTATACAAAGGAGTACTGGAAGAAAAGGAGAAGAAATACATCTTCTAATGTATAAAAAAGCTGTTCTAGAGGGAAGAAAGAAGTAGTACTTCTTGGTATCTATGGATGATGCACTCTCTTGTCCTTCAGGTAGAATGTTTCCAAGTGTGGTATTCACAACAATGGGTCCACCTTTACCTACAGGAGAGCTTGAGAAGGATTGCCAGAAACTGGAAGCTGATGTTGCATTCGCTAGTGTTGTAATAATTGTAATGGATAATAGGAATGCCTGTTTCTGGCTACTTAGCAAGGAGCCGTGCAAACCAAGCATGACTCAAGCTGCATTAATTTTGATGTAATACTTCAAAGATACATAGTCTTTGTTCTTTTTTAGTATTAATTTTTCTTTCCTTTAAAACAGAGTGACTGGCCAGAAGGATACCACCTTGCTTCTGCCATGAATTTCCGTTTCCCACAATGTGTCCCTATAAGCCTAAAAACTCTCATCCCAAATGCAAGCAATGAAGCAATACAGCTTATGAGTGACATGCTAAACTGGAATCCAAAGAAGAGACCTACAGCAAGTCAGGTCTGAGCACATGAATAATTAAGTATAAGGCTGAATTTTTTTGCATTGCTAAAAAATTGTAGATACAGAAAGCATTTGGTTCTCATACTACTGATGACCACAGAAGCATCTCCTCACTTTGAACACTTGGGTGGGAATGAGATTGAGTGGTGAGGAGAAAAAGTTCTAAACCTGGCTCAGCAGACATCATAAACTCTTCAGTTATTTCTGCAGTGTTGTCTTCTGTATTGGCATATTTTAAAACTCTCTCCATACAGGATAGAGAAAAAGCTGAGCCACAAGTTTCCTCAGTTGTGTTCTATAAGTCACTTCTGCTACCTTTGTTTTCCTCCCCTAGCTGTGCAAAGGGTGTTATTGAAAACTACACTTTGCTTTCTGTGAAGCTGCAGATGGAATACAGTATGGAAGAGCTAAGGATTATTTTTACTTGGAGGTGGAATGTAAATTGTACTAAGTGATAAGGAAAGAACTTTGTGAAGAACATACCAATAGATCACAAAGGTCACAGTTTTTCTCCAAGTTGATTTGAAGAAAACATATTTCAAGTACCAAAGATGGTTACATTCTGTGGATTTATTTTTTTAAAATTCATACCTAATGCAATCCTATTTAGAAGTATAGGAAGGAAGTATAGAGGAAATTGGGAAAGAAAAGACATATTGCAAGTTGGATGTAATGTAAGTGATTCAGAAGTGGTTAAACAGATGGTACCAAATACAGCAACCATTTCTATCCACTTTATAAAGCATAACTATTGTACAGCCACTGAGAGATCTATCTGTAGTCCAGTACTATGTATCTCTACACAAAACGATGTATGGTGCCTTATAAAAGCAAATAACCAGCTTTTACACAAGTGAGTTATCAAGGAAGCAGCTGCAGCAGTTGTGTAATCCACAGTCAAAACAAAGAATTTAATGCATACACATGGTAATGTGTAAAAAGGCAGCAATTCTTGAGTGCAGCTGAGGCAAAACACCTCTTTGAGAACTAACAAAGAGTAGGATCCTACCCAGAAGGAGTAGCAGAATGTGCTGTTTTGACATAGAAGGAGGTGTGTTACTAAGGTGTGTCCATGCTCTGCATCCAGTGGTGGACATGAAAAGGTCAGAGTAAAAGGATGAAATAAACATCTGCCTTAAGACAGACATTGTAGTTTCCTAATAAACACCATGAAGGCACAGCAAGCACAGCTAATGTATTTTAAAGCAAAACAAAAGCAGGGAAAGCTGGTGATAAGAAAAATGAGGGAGAAACTTTGCTCATTAACATTCTGTAATTGTAAAACCCATACATGGCAATCATCACACTTCTGGTTTTTTCTTGGTTTTGTTTGTTTTGTTTTGTGGGTATTTTTGTTTGTTTGTTTGTTTGCTTTTTGTTGGGGTTTTTTGGGGGGGTTGCTTGTGGGGATTTGTTTTGTTTGGGTGGTTTTCTTATGTGGGGTTTTTTGCTTCTGTTTGTTTTTGTTGGTATTTTTTGTTTGGTTTGGTTTTTTTAATTAAAAAACCCCAGACTGTTCCTTGAGTTGCCAAAACATAGTCAGCAGTGGAAACATGCAATAAAGCATGTGGTAAAGGTAGTGGAGACTACTTGTTTTAAAACTGAGATTTGTTACTGCATGAATTTAGAATGGTGTTGAATGTAAAACACACCACAGAGCACAGACTCCACAAAACCTAGCAGTAAAGGAGGGAAAGAAAGGACATGACTGCTGTAACATGCACAATTGGATCCGTCTTACTAAGTTATGATGGGAAGACTTTGAAACACAGAACTGCCAGTTATCAATACACACTGTTTACATATGATCTCATTATGCATCCATCCTGCATCTGTGCAGGATTTGCTTGCTTAAATGTTTCAGAAACCTGCTTAGATCCTTGCTGAAGTTACCAAAATCAACTTTTTGAAGTAAAATTAGTATGTTATATCTTCTTCTCCAGGCTTTGAAGTATCCTTACTTTCAAGTTGGCCAAATTTTAGGACCTCCTCCACAGTATCTGGAGAAGCAGACTCCTATTAAACCGGTTCAGCCAACAGAGCCAAAGCCAGCTTTTCCTAAACTGGAAGCTATATCCAAGCCAGAACCTCTGTCTTCACCTGATTTACCTGACAAAACAGAGCCACAGTCCCTGCCAAAGGTTAACCACCAGCCTCTCCAGCAAATTCAGTTGCCTCAGAATACAGCTAACCAGCAAGTACCAAAGCAGCAGCAGCCACAGGCACAACCATTTTTTCCAATTATCAATAAAAATTCATCACCTGTAAGTTGTCTTTAATAACTACTTAGATGGTTTTATTAAAAGTTCTTAGTATATTAAACCAGGTGATCACTTGTCCTACATTTTATTAGAGGAAATACAAATAGATAACTAGGGACTAATAGAGGATATGCCAGGTTGCTTCCTAAAATTTGGCAGCCAGTCAGAAGAAAAGATTGCTTGTAACAACAGTGTGTGTTCATTTATAGTAGCCCTTACTGACATGCTTATGCAGTAACGTAGTTATAACAGCTATGACTTATTGACCTTTGAGAAATAATTCACAAAAATACTGTCAGTATACAGTAGAGAAGTGGAAAGGGAGAACTTCTCTTGCCTCATGCAGGAAAATACCCAAGAAGGTTTATCCAATTCCTAACCTTACAAGAATTTAACAATTAATATTTTTTTGTAAGATGAATAGTAAAATTTGGTTTGTAATCTTCATTTTGCTTTTGGGTTGTACTCACTGAACTGCAGTATAAAGCATGTTAAAAGTAAAAGGTATTCAGAAAATACTGGAAAGCAAATGGTAGTCAGATGAAAGGATAGTTTTTAAATTTAGTCATTTCATTGGAAGAGAATGTTAAAGAAAGGCCTGACAAGCTTCTTTTATTTGCTGTACTTACTTTGGGGCCACAGCAGTGTTCTGCACCACTGTATTCTATTTCTCGAAGGTTCATCTACCACTGTTTAGAGCACAAGTTCAACAAGATACCAGCAGTAGAGGCTGAACACAGAACTGGATCTGCAAATAGAATGTTAACCTCACTACTTTAGGTAGACTTGGGCAATTTAAGGATGAGAGTCCAAAAGAACTACACTCAAAATACATGCTGGCATTATTGTTATGGTTTGTACTTAAAGTCATTCTGAGACTATGACCAAAACAGGCACAACGTAACGAGAAAAATTCCCTCAAAGTCTTTAACCAATATTCAGAAAGTAAACTAGATACAAAATATAAAATTTTAGAATGGAATTAAAGGTTGTTTTTTTTTTTATTTAAAATAGAAACAAGCAGCTAGTGGCCCTCTGAATGTTGCACTAGGTCCTAAAAGCTGCAGAAGACGATGGGGTCAGACTTTGGTAAAGGCTATGGATAGCTGGGATGACTTGGATGACCCTGAATTTGGAATGTCATGTTCAAAGAAGCCTAGCATTGCATTGTTAAAAGAAAAGAAAAACAAGGAATTTATTTTTAGGTAGGTCCTACAATTATGAAATCGTATTTTCTTTTAGCAAACAGTCCAGTAGATTTATAGATTGATTAAGACAAGTCTGTGAAAATTCAAGTCACCCAAATTCTGCAAGAATGCCAAAAGCTGTATGAGCAGACCAGCTTTGGGTGTGGTGTTGATTTGGTGCTAGCAGTATCCCAACACAATCAAATTTGCTTTCAGGCACTACATGGTTTAGGTGTTTCTTGTGTTATTAAGAAAATGTCTGTCTTACTAAAATCAGACATACTAACATAATTTCCTTTGTCAGTTAAGTGATACTGTGCTCCCCATTTGCTCTTATTCTGTACTGTTGGATACACTTATTTCTTCCAATACCAGGTCAAATGCTCATGAGGTATTAGATTTGGCTGTTACTTTTTGGAAATAGACTCTGCTGATGAAAGTGGGATAACTGAAGAGCACCCTATTCTTCAGGCTAAGGTCAGCTTGTGGTATTCTGAGATGGAGGTGTTGGTCACATTGTTTGAAAATTTTGATTTTTTTCAGTGTGCCAGAACCAAAGCCTTCATGCTATATCCAGCCAGGAGCAGAAAATAAGGTTCTGATGAGAAATGATTCTGGAAGATCAAATACATCAGCAAAACAGTACTATCTAAGACAATCAAGATATCTACCTGGTAAGGTTAAAATTCAATACATATAGAAAATACAAGGTGGGCACAATCTACATACAGTACATTTAAACTTTGGATTTCTCATTGGATAATTTTACTGTTCATAACCAGGCTAAATTTTCAAGCTTTGGACTAAATGCCTTTCCCAGAACATATCACAATTGATGCAGAAGTTCATGGCTATGTAAACGTGGCTCGTACACCATAAAAGTTCACAGGACCTCTTATGACCAGTAACATAAAAAATCCTCAGTAATATAAATCCAACGTCTCTGGGACTACTAGGACTATATCCTGATTGACCTATAAGCAAGTGTGTCTGAGGACTGAAAAAACTACATATATTCTCTTCATCAGGAACCATAGTGATAGGACAAAGAGTAATGGGTTCAAACTGAAAGAGGAGAAATTTAAATTAGATATATAGAGGAAGTTCTTTACTATGAGGGTGGTGAGGCACTGGAACAGGTTGCCCAGAGAAGTTGTGGGTGCCCCATATCTGGCAGTGTTCAAGGCCAGGTTGGATGGGGCTCTGAGCAACCTGATCTAGTGGGAGGTGTCTCTGCCCATGGCAGGGGTGTGGGAATTAGAAGATCTTTAAGGTCCCTTCCAACTCAAACCATTCTATGATTTTATACATATATAATGCATATTTATCAGTTTTGCAGTGTCAGGAGGTTGGAGGTCTTTACACAGTTAGCCTTCTTTGTAGGAAGTGTTTAGAAATATCAGCCACTGGCACTGGCAGGAATTCACACATTCACTTCCCCTCCCTGGGTATCTTTAAAAATAGATAACTTAGTCTAAATCTGGGTGCTTTTATCAGGAAAATAACATGAAATTTTGTAATTGCTAGAAATGAGAATGGAAAGGAGGGGAAAGCAAAGAGAATGTTTCCTTCAATAAGTATTCTAAATATATACTATAATCAAATTATTTTCTTGGTGTCACTTAGTGTCATTTATTTGTTACCATGATGCTTTGTACAATTCCAATAAGCATATCATGACTTCTGCTGTAATCCACATGTGAGAATTCAGGTGGCTCACAAAGGAATTCCTCATTGTCAGGCAAGTTGTTTTGTTACAACGTATCATTAATTTGTCAGGAATTCATTAGGGCAGTGATGACTTCTGAATATGAAATCACTTCCTGAATGTTAAATAGGATGCCCAGAGGCTCAAGAGTTTAAGTCCAAAAGAAAAGAAAAAGAAAAATATAAAGGGCGAGGAGCTTCCCTATCTAAAGGTAACACAAATGGAAGGTTCATCTATATTTCTTATCTTCTTTTAAGCATGATTCTAGTGTCTCTCTGGTTTTCAGTTAGAAAGGCATAGATGTAAAAAATAATTAATTCCAAGATTTAAGGGAATAATAGCTCCAAGGAGCACATTTGTTATTTATACATATTACTTTAGTTCTGTAACCAGCAGATCTGGGAGCTGTTTTCGTGCAGTGTAATCCCCTTAAGTCTTGTAATGCTCCTAACATGTGAAGTAACAAGAACCTCTTTGTCCTACTTTTTAACTTAACCCTTAAAGAAATAGTTTATTTTCAGTCTTGAGAACCCTAGTTTTTGATAGGTATTTTTAATTTGTGTTAATTTTTTGATGGACAAAAATATCAATAATGCGATTATGGTTTTATAGAATCCAAGTAACTGTACTAAAAAGACTGTTAAAAGTTCTCTTGAAAGCATGAAGAGAATTTTTCTTAAATCAGTGTCACTAGTTTTCATGGCTTAGCTTAAAAATCTAACCTAATCAATGGACATTGTTAATTTACATTAATGGTGTTCACATTATGGCACAAATAATTCAGTGTTGGTTCACTGTTCTAAAAATGTGCATTTTTCATGGGTTGCATAATGTTTGAAAATTGATATTTATAACATTATTTATCATTTGTTTTCTAAGGTGTAAACCCAAAGAGTGTCTCTTTAGCAGCAGTCAATAGAGAAGGATCACAAGGAACCTGGAACAACCAGTTGTTTTCTAAATCGCTGGCACATACTGGAGGAGGATTTACTTTCAGGAGAAATACTACAGGTAAAAGTGCACATTATATCTCATCATACTTTATTTAATTAATGTAGTTAAGACCATCTGGTTTAAATTCTGTGGTCAAGCTTAGCTTCTAAACTTTTTTTTCCTCTTGTTTTAACAAATGTTTTTTCATATGTAAAACTATGTATTTTGCTTTCAGAACATTAAGAAGGTATAGACCAGCCATTCTTTATAAAGTTTTGTCAAGATAAATTTTGTCCATAATCCTCTTAGACCATAGGTACTGTATTTAAGCAAATAGTTTGACCTTATTACTGCCTGCTCAGTGTGCTATGGAACATTAGCAAACAGCAGTGTCACCTGTGAAAACAAAATGGTGAGTGGTGTGCTCATGTAATAAAAGTGCTGCCTAATATTCTAAATATGTCTTTTATCTGTTTACTAGCCTTGTCCTAAATACTGTGCTGCAGGAAAACTCCCCTTATTTTCGGGAACTTTCAGGGAAGTTATTTTTGGGAGTATGTTTTGTGAAGTACACTAGTAGTGAAGACTAAGGCTAGTTAAACAAAGTTTCATTCTTGCTTGCTTTTTTCCCCTCTGTTCTTTTACATCACCTAAACAGGTTCTTCTTATCCTTTTTCTAAAGTTCTGTCTTTCCATCTTTTTCTTCCTTTCGTTTTCCTTACCTACAGATGAGAACTTAATTATACCTATTGAAAAGCTATCGTGCAAAGAAAGGTTTAATGAAAAATTAGAAGATCCAAAAGGTAATTTATAGCAATTGTAGCCTAGTTCTTTGTATGTTTCTTATTTATGTTTTACAGTTTCTTGTAAAACAATTATGTTTATAATGCATGTTCCTGATGATCATATACTTCCATTTGCAGTTGTACTCTGTTTTGTCAAACCTTGCTCTCTTCATTGTGACTTCTGGATTCTTGGGATTTACTGTGTCTTAAAAGGCAGAGAGTATTTTATTATCCTAATTATAATCCACAGCAGGTCACTGCCCTGTTGCTGGATAATGGTGAAGAAGTGATCCTTAAGCAGCACGTGCATCTCTCCTGAAGGACTGCTTGTTCATGACAGGACTTGGGACTTGAACCATTTCCTGCATTTGGATTCTCTACCTGATTCTTACACTGATTTTACAGTGCTGTGGTTGAACAGATTTTGGTGGAGCTACCTTAGTGTAAGAAGGTGGAAACTCAGGATTCCAGGCACACTAGTTTATGTCTAAATACACTGTTGGCTACAAGCATTGCAAATGCTGGAATGTTTTACCTCTCCCCCTGTTCCTGCCCCCTCTGGTGTGTACTGCCCACGTGACACATCTCATTGCAACTACTTGTAGGGTTTTTTGAACTCACTACCTACCTCAAACAATTCAACGACCTTATCCTTTGCGAAGAATCAGGTGTGTGTTGTTTGAGATGGGGGTATGGCCTTGGCCACCCTTGTGGACATCATGGCAATGAGTGCTTGCCTATAGACCAGCTGCCAGAGCTCCTGGATGCCTGATGGATGATTACTTCTCTAGCAAGAACCCCTTCCTTTGTATGGCAGTAGTCAGAGGTAAGGAACTGTGCTTTTAAATAGGATGTTTTTAAATTTGTAGCTATTCTGTTATTTTATATTGAACTTTTTTTCCTGCTTCCCTTGTTCTCATCCAACAAAAGATCACCCCTGCAGACCTCTCTGTTTCACCCAGACTGTTCATCCTGGCTGCACTTTTTCACTTCCTGCAGAAGAATTCATAAAGGACATTGGACATTGAGAGGTAAGGAGAACAAAAAAAAATGGTTGAACAATTTTTGACAGCTATGCAGCTTTGCTGAGCTGTAGCAAAGAAGCAGACAGAAGTAGTCTTTTTGAGGTTGTATTAATTGAGGCCTGTCATGTTCTTATTTTTAGACCTCAAAATTTTAAGGAATGCTATTGAGTTCTCAGATCTGAACTATTCCCAATAGCTAGGATCTGGGGAATAAGAGAATGTGTGTGTATATATCCACAAGCAGGTGAATGAACCACTAAAACTGTGTTGTTTTGGTTTTCAGGCAAATTCCTGAAAAGGAAGAACAACTTAGACTCTACAAGAAAGTTAAATTTTATTGGAATACTTCATTAAAGTTTTATTTTTCACCAGCTGTATTGATGTGTCATTCTTTACTGTGGAAACTGGCATCAAGTGGACAGAGGAAAGCTACATGGAGACCCAACTATTTGCAGAGCTGTGAAGTGATAGTTTGAGGAGACTGGCAAAACTGAGTTAGCTGAATGCTTTTTGTTAGTGCTCCTGAACAGGGAGGTTTGCAACAACCCAATGCAGCTGTAATTAGCTGAGGATACCTTTTTTGGGTTGTAGATGACCACTTTTGCAGCTTATAGATCCACTGCTCTGAGCTCTGACATAATCAGAGAGGACTGAGAGTGTTTGTGTGAAGAGGAACATTATGGGATTGCACAAAGGCTAGCAATTTAGGAGACAAAAACTGTCAAAACAGAGACTGCATGTTTAGTGCAACTACCACTGAAACTATGATGAATATGCACACATTTAATAAAGGTTAAAACAAACTACTGTGTATGGCCTTGTATTTCACAATACTACTGAACACAGAACCATACCACTATAGAAAAGCATTTCTCTCTGGACATTGTGCCAGCACAGTCTTTACACTGTCCCAAGTGATGACAGATATGAGGAAGGTATGAAATTGTCTTGGACCAGGGAATCTAAGTATTGTAACAGATCCTTCTGCCACTGAACATTAATTTCAGTACTAATTTTGTGTGTACATGCACAATGCTTCTCAGCTTCCAAATGAGGATGGTTATGTCAACCTTCCCATGGGAGTACTGCTTTAAAGAAAGATCTGAGCCAAAACTAGGCATAATATTATAACCAGGGTTAAAGAAAGAGGGTAGTTGGGTCTGACCTTATAGTAGGCCTTTTAGCTATGGAACTGGCAGTCAACTTCAAGTGGTGCACCACTTCCCACAAGAGAAGTTGGGTTTCAGTTCTTTTAGATTTAGGCCTGTAGTGGTTTGAACCAGGTTTTCCCCCTGAAGCTAAGGAAGTGGTAAAACCCCAGGGGGTGGTGACCCCTGGAAGTTTTGCAGTTTCGTCCAATGGGCGCTTCTGCGAAATGTAAACATACCACAAGCAAACGGAAGAGAAGGTTAGTTGTAGTTTGGTGTTGTAGAAGTGGTAGCCATGTTCTGAGGCCACGAGGAGCAGAGGGCAGGAGCCCTCTGGGGGGCTTTGGCCCCCCAGCCCACAGCGGGGGCTGCGGGGACCTGGAACAGCATAAAGCTGGGCTAGGTGCCTGCAGTTGAGAGCTAAAAAAGTTTTCTCCACTGTGAGTGAGCAGAGACAGCAGCGGCAGAAGCAGCGTCCAGAAGCGATGGCAGAGAGCCAAAAAGATAAGAACGCAGCAGAGGCAGCTTGCAACCAGGCAAGCTGACACAGAGATGTCTAATGAAGAGAGAGAGAGCTGAGAGAGCAGCAGGGAGAGAGGAAGCTGGGGTAAGAACTAGAATAAGACCCCATACCCCTCTGAGACCTCCGAGAAAGGAGGGAGATTAACTCCTATTAAGGAGAGGAGCCTTGGAGTGCTGCAGCACCAGAGAGAGAGGAGCTGAGAAGCTCAAAGACGTCCTGAAGCTGGACCAGGACGGAGAAGGAATGCGGGGGGGTTGACCTTGGCCCCCCTCGCTGCTGCTGACAAGCCTAGCAGCCTGAGACAGAGCACAGGAGCTCTGGTAGAACTCTTGAGGCAAAGGCTTTCAATTCAATGCTGCCCAAGATGTTCTGACTCAGGGGTGAACCCCCCTGAGGAAGGGACTTCCACGAAGATGCCGCTGCATTTCGTGATATGCCTGTGGTGACGCGAGTTTTGTCCCTGCTGGCAGTCCACAGGTGAGACCTTCGCTTGGAGTCGAAGGGCCGAGAGGGGTGAAAGGAGACCCCCTTGTGTCTTGAAAGACCCTCGTTTGGAGACGACGAGCCAAGGGGCTTGGAGACCCCCTTGTGTGTATTGAAAAGAGATCCAGCTACAACAATCCAGTTACGGCTGCTGCATAGAGACAGAGAGACCTGCTGCCTTAGGGACATTGCTGCTCTGAAGAAAGGATCTTTCCTTCTTCCCTCCTGGACTTTTATTTGGAGGGGAGAAGAGATCTGATCCATTGAAAATACTTATGTCATGGTAGAGATAGTTGTGATCGTGTGTATAATGTATTATAATATTTATTTGTACAGTCATTGTAATATATTCCCTTTCGCCCATTCTGAGTCTCGTGTTTTGTCTGGAAAAAACACGTCTTATACTAGGTTGAGATGGGGGAGGGGGCTTGGACTAGGGAATTAGATTTTTTTGGGGGATCTCAAACCATGACAAGGCCAAACATGTTGAGCATAAGAGTAGGGCTGAGTGCTAGTTTTCAAATAGCTTAAACCAGCTTCTGGTAAAGCAAGTAGATGTAAGCAAAAGGTAAGATCCTATCTATCTTTCTCTAAAACTCGGTGTAAACCTTTCTATGTTCACCCTTCTCTGTTGTTTTTTTCCTGCTGATCTCCAGCTTGCAAGTCTGCTAAGTGCTGTAAAGATACAAAACAAAGAATTAATATATACTTTTTTTCAAGAGATGAGCACTAGGGAGTACTCTTGGGGTACTGCAAATATATTTTGAAGTGACTTTAAAAAGTAGGCAAGGTTTTCTGAATGCTACTGAAAATTCTAAAATTCTGTAATGTCAACAGGAAATCCTGGCTTTGTAAGTAGTGCTGCTTACAACCCATCAGGAATATACACCCCGTCCTTCCATAAAAAAGAAGTTGGCTCAGCGGGACAACGGATACAGCTAGCACCTCTTGGTGCACCTGTATCAGGTAAGAAATATCCTTTTACCATACATAACCAAGACAAAGAGAAACGTTAATTTTCCATGCTTCCAAAGAGATCAGCCCTTAGTAAGGTTTTCCTCAAGTTCTATAATTAAAACTGTAGGGCATAAATTGTTCTTAACGTAAGTGAACTGAATGTAGGCGTATAGAGGCAGCCCTGATAGCTAGAGAAACTATTGCTACTAATATTTATTAGGTAAAAAAGAAAATAATTACAAAAGGTGCAAACCTTTTATAATTCTAGAAAGTTTGGACCATTTGCTAAACTATGGCTCATTAGTGGTGATGGACCAAGCAGAATTGTAAAAATATGTAACTCCACAACTCTGTAGTAAATGGTCATGTAGACTGGACTCCATCCATCTGGTAAAAACAACGTGAAGTCTGTTCTAAATGTAACTGTTACCTTGGATCCTCTACAGTATGGATGATGTTCTGAGCACTTTCTTTGTATGTTCCTAGTTCAGAGAAGACGAACAGAAGTGCTCAGGATGCAGGAGAAACTGGTTTGTGAGTGAAGATTTAGAGCTCTTGTCCAAACCCAGCAGCATGCTCCTCTAGTTACTTCAGAGGAAACAGCAAGGCCCTCAATTTGGTGAATTGTTTAACCAAAGGGCTTATGGCACACCAATCTCATACGGTCCTGCTTAAATAATGTCTTTTTGCTGATGTGCTCTTTTGAGTTACCTGTTCTCCTTAGGAATTTGCAAGTAACTTCTGAGAAGCAGAGAGGGAAGGAAGGAAGGAGATGGCATGCATATATAAAATATGCTTAGATGTATATGTATTCTGTGCCTGAGTGCATCAGAAGCCCACCAGGGAAGGCTGGAGCTGCAGTTCATTATCTTATCAACTCACTGCTGGAACACAGCTGCGAGAGTTTTGATTTGTCACAGTGTGTGGATCAAGAAGTTCATAGAATGACAAAATCTGCAACTATCTCTAGACTGCTGTGAATAGTGTGAAAGAGAAGGGATTAGATATGGTGTTCCAAAGGGAAATAAATTCACTGTTAATCTGTAATTAGAAATGGAAAATGTGTAGTAAAAGTCAGAAAAGCTGGCAGATGGAGGTCAATTAAGACACTCTTCCATGTCCTGGAAAAGAGCAAGAATACTATTGCTTTAAACCCCTCATATTTAGCCTAAACTTTGCAGACTTGCATGGGAAGAGAGATAACGATGAAGGAAATGGCAGGTTTTATCTCCTAGCTGTCAATATTTGAACGTTAACATTTTTTGTGACCCTTTGCTTTGCATTATGCAAACTGAAATAAGTTATGGTCTCAATTGTATTTCTCTCTTAATTTGTTAAGTTTTTTAATGCCATGATTTAAATAATTTAATGTAGTATAAAGGATCAGTTTCTCTGTGGAAAATGCCAAGACTCAGGAAAAGTGGCCTTCATTGCCAAACTACTGTAGGCTGGAATCATACTTTCTGACCAAAGATAGGGAATGCCAGCCTACAATAAAAAGGAACAGTATTAGTTTTCATAGAGGTGGAGACCTGACCCCCAGTTTCAGTTCCTTGACGTTCCTCCTTTTTAAATGCCTTGATCCTCACCTGTTCTTTAATGGGTTCAATCCACTGTTTCTGTAAGAAACAGAATGATACACAGGCACCAAAGAACCATTAAATTTCAATGTGAAATTTTTTTTAAGAGTATCACTAATACATAATAAAAGAAGACTAAACTACAAATGTAGGAATGGAAGGGGTAGGACCTACTTTGGGAATGCTAAGGTATAGCAGGAGTCTGGATAAGAGAGGTCCCAAATGACTGACTTTAAAGGATTGGGAAAATGGCAGAATTGGTCATGAACATGAAGAAGCATCAGCCCCTGCAGCAGCACAATTACTTTAGTCACATGAAGCTTGAGGAATTGCCAACTACCTGAAATGCAAAAAGGGGAAATCTGAGTAGGAAGGCCAGGAATACAGTAATGCACTACTGCTAGTACTTGGTATCAGGTGGATACCAATATTAAGGAATAAGAAAACCTTCAGACTTGGAATGGATCCTATAAAATCAATGGAGAAATGGGAAAAGGAGCAAAGAGGTCTTGTCACCAGTTAAACCAGGAGTTCTGAGTTGAGCAGGAGGGAAATAAAAGGCATAAAATCTCAAAGGGAACAAAAAGGTCTCCAGAAACTGTCCTTCAGTCTAAGCTGTTTGGGTCTTAATAAGTTTATCAATGTTATAATTACATGCTTTTATAAATATTTGAGATATTTGAGATAGAAGAAAGAACACACTCATTCTGTAGCAGTTTTATAATGGGAGATACAAAATTGTAGGTATATGCATCAGTTTTTCTACTGAATTTCAGTCTCAACGTTTTCTCGAGGGATTGCTGCAAAACAAGTATCCAGTAGGTGAGGATTAAACACACAAACTATAGGAAACATGCACCTTATCTTAAAACAAGCATAGACAGCATGCTCTCAGGCATATAGTGGGATTCTTGCAGGTGTCCTGTGCAGAGTCAGGAGTTGGACTTGATCCTTTGGGGTCTCTTCCAACTCAGGATGTTTTATGACATGTAGGAGACCAAAGCACCTTGCTACATTGGCACCCTTAAGTACCATAAGTCATCTTTAACCTCTCAGTCTTTTCTCTGTGAAGAAGTAAAGTATCTTTTTAGTCATCATTAATTCTGAGTTCTTGTTCCTTTCAGATTTTTCCTGGAAAACCAAAGCTGCTCGTGCTCCATTACCAGGTCCTACCTTCAATTCACCAGCAAAAAACATGAGTATCTTAACTTACCCACCAACAATTCAGCGAGTACATGGAAGAACAGACTGGGTGGCCAAATATGGAGGAAACAGATAGAAAATGCCATCCTGTACAGATACTACGTGCGCTGTGTTCGGTCCTCCTGCACTTGGAAACCTGAAATGCCTATTTGCTCTAACTTTTCTTAAGACTATGCAATAGTAAAGAAGAAAAAAAGACCTTGTGTTCTATTACCTGTTATAGTACACATATAATACCATGTAAAATACTGGCTATAAAGTAGGATGTAATGAAGTATTGTATAACACATATTGCCAAAACTACTAGATTTCATTTGACATTTTTCTATAGATGATCTCCTATCCCTGTTACGGTTATTCATCCAGTGCAACATCCACTGTTGGGATATGCTTGAAGCACACAAGCAGTTAGAAGTAGGGCTGAAGCAGAGCAGCACCAGGCTTCCAGGTGTTAGGCTGGTTCCTCAGCAGGAAGATGAGAGTGAAGCACAGCTCCGGCTTTGTGAGGAATACCAAACTCTCCTACAAGGATTTCAGAACTCTCTTGTAACTAAGAATTACTCAGGGTCTGTAAGCTGCAAATATTCATGTAGCAATGAGAGCTTAAATCCTTGTAGTGGGACATAAGCAATCCACTTATAGATACTACACAAGAAAACTCTAAAAACTTGGCTGATACATGGCTGTAGAAAGATATAGCAATACTGGAAAATAGCTAAACAAGTACTGAATGCTAGACTCAAGCTGTGAAGTGAAGCCTAACAATTAGATTCTGCTGTTATAATTAACTTAATGCCATTTTTGGTCAAAGACCTGTAGAGATTTTCCTCTGTCCTGTCAAGGGAGTGTCACAGTGACCTTTTAAGAAGCCTGAATCACTGTGGTCTGTCAGTGATTTTAAGGGTGAATAATAAAATAATAAAATGCATAAATTATCAATAAACTCCTGTTTCTTTATATCTTTATTGGGTGATCAAACTTAAACTACAGAAGTTGAACAAGCTACATGAGGGGCTACATATTGGGCTGTTCTTTAAAAATATTGTTTTCTGGTTTAGATCTTAAAGGCCAACTTAGGTACCTAAAAACACACAGCAACTTTAATAATTCATTGTGTCGCTGTTTATATGCTCGTTCAGTACTTTCCCCAGCTTTTATGGTAAGTTTTATAATAATATCGTGCAAAGGACTTTGCAATGTACAATAAACTGTTTTTTTAGGATGTTGAACTAGGCTATTTCTGTTAACAATTGCATTTAGAATAGATGCTTTAGACTTAATAGTTACATTAAACTTGCCATTTTGAAGTATAAACAGAGTATGTTCTTTAAGGATTTAAAGCTGTTAATGATTACTTTAAGCATTGTAAAAAAAAGAAATGTATTTGTAGGCTTTTATAATGGATATTAAAATTTAAATTTCTGTTGTTGACCCAATCTTTCATAATATATAGGTTACATTAATTTCCTGGAAAGCAATTTAATCTAAAACAATTTTACCAAAAAGTCAAATATTTTGTTATTAAAATTGCACCTAAAGAAAATGCCACTTTAATACTGTAAGAGCTACACAGGGATAGGGATATATGGTTAGTAATGCACTAGAGAGTTTAATTCAATTGCCATTGGTCTAGGATTAAATATTTGTCATTCCATTAGTACTAACAGATGTTCCTATGCTATTTAAATGTGTCTTAATTTATTGGTAGAATATATGTAACTTGTCATGGCAATGAAGGACAACCTCAGAATGTTTGTAACAGGCATTAAAGCAATGGTTTTATAATTAAAAAACAAGATAAATTAATCACTTGTCTCTAGTACAATATGCCAATGATTAAGTTAAAAACACGGCCTGGTCAAGGAACATCCAAAGCTCACATGTCCATAGCTCACATGTCCGTAAGTCACCTAGAGCAGAAAAATAAACAGGTACTATTTCTGGCACTAAATATGGCTAGAAGAAACATGCTGTCCCTTACCCTATGCTAATGAACCTTGAAAGGGCTTTGACATAACTAAACCAGCCTTTACTTGTTCATAATCAAAGCATGACCAGTGTTAAAAAATTCTTCTTGCAAACAGCAAGAAAAGGCTAATGAGCTCTGTACAGTCATTTTCATTCTGATTCATTGACACATTATCAGATTGTTAGTGCAGAAATGCCATCTAATGCTTAAAAAATTTAGTATGCTGAAAAAGTTTCAAGGGGGTAAAGAGTTTGTAAGACTAAAGCTTTTCTCTTGTCCCTTTGTCTGTATTACTGCTGTTTCTCCTGAACATGAAAAGTGGTAACACATTCTACCAGCAGTTCTCAGTTCAAGCTACTGCTTTCCAAAGCTCATGGAACAGCAGCTTAAGACTTTGGTCTAAGAGTTTAAAAGCTTTTAAGTCCAATTCCCTGTTTTCTATTTTCTTTATTCCATCAGAGACAACTGCAGCTCAAATTTGCAAGTTACCTGATTTGAGACCAGCATTATACAATTAGAAAACTGCTGGATCATGGATGTTCTCATTTTATTGCAGGAGATGCATTTATGTGTGCATCTTACTTCTACAGAAGAAAATTGATTCAACAGCAATATGAAGAGGCAAAAAAAAATATGAAGTAGTTTAAAGAGAAGTGTCTTAAATGCTAATGCTAATGGCTTACTAACTTTTTCAAGTTAGAGCAGAGACACTGAGACACTTGCCCACCAATGGTGAGTCCATGGGCTGGGATTAGGCACTTAAAAGGATGACATATAAACAAACCATCTTCTGTTTCTATGCAGGGAGGCAAGAGGGAAATGTAAATACAGGAGAACACCTGAAGCTGAACTCTGCAGGATGATGAATAAGGGTTTTAAGAAGATGCTCTGAGTACAGTTCCCCCTCAAGATCTCACTGCCTGTGCTCAAGCCAGCTCTGACCTAAGTTGTTTGGCCTGGGAACAGGCTGCTGAGACCCTTGCTGGAGCTGCACCCATTCCTGGCCATGTCTCTGAGGATCTGGAACCCAATCTGATTGACCTGGCATCCTGGCTTGATCTCAGCCTTGCCTCACCATTGTGAGTTGCCTGGCAAACTGCACTGCTGGCAGAGCATGGCTATGGCTATGGCCACTGGCCCAGCTCTGCACCTCCTGCTCAGGCAGCACAGGGTCACTGACCTGCCTGTTTTGCTGCAGCAAGGAACGAGGAAAGGAAAACTACAGGATGTGACCCTCCTGCAAAGCTACTAGCCTGATACTTAGAGAATTCTAAGCAACTCTAGGGTCTCACCATCTAATGGATCAACCCTGCTGCTTCCATCTCTCTCTGTACCAGGCACCAAAGAAAGGTTGAGGAAATAAAGCTCAGGATCTGTGCAGAAAGGGATATAAGTTAAATGAAACCAGAAAAGGGATACATTACCAACCATGTGTAGCTTCCAGGATTATTTCTCTATGGCAGGTTTATATTTGGAACAATTTCAGGCATCAAGGGAATCAACTGAGGACAAAGACTGATCACATGAACCCTTCAGTCTTTAAAGAAACTTTCATACAGAATTTTCTAAATCTAAAATAGACGATTCCCTCGGAAAACAAAAACCAAACAACCTTTAATACAATACTTGTCTGAATATTTGGTCTGTATGCTTTTGTTCTCTACACCTCCCGCCAGTTCAGATTTTTATATGTACAAGTTACTAGATTCAGAGAATAGAATAGAAATTATGTATACAATTCATGTTTGCAAATATATCCAGACACCCTGCAAGAAAGGCACCAAACTATCAATCCAGATGAATGACTAAAGACAAAAAAAGTTGTGTAGAACACAAAGGTTTGTAATAATAATTTGTTAGTTTATTTAAAATAACATTTTAATAAAAGCTATGCCTGCAATTCAGCATTGCCTAATAAAGCATCTTTTTGATTTATGAAGAATAATCTGTAAAAGTGAAATGAATTACATATAGCTGGGCACTTTTGCTTACAAGTAATTGCAAGGAACGGGTCTGCATTCATTGCATTACAGCAAAACCTCAACATCCTGTTCCATGATTATGTTTTGTGGGACCAGCTTCTGACACACAGTGCTGGGAGAACACAGTCCCTGACTGACAAACATTGTGACCAGATAAACTTGGCAAGGAAAGGGAGATGTAATGTTATAAGCACGTTTATTATATTAATTACTAGTGACAGACTGGCATCTCCTCTTCCCTTGTTTTAGAGGTACACATGATTTTAGAAGGACAAACCAAGAGGTACATTTAAGCTTCAATCCTGCAACTGTCTGCATACAAGGGCCAAGAGGTCTTTGCCTACAGTAAGCTGCAGGACCAGAAGCTAAACTAATGCTATAGTCATATTTTCTTGCTTCACAGTGCAGAAAATGTTAAGACAGATACCATTTGGGAAGACATAACAAGGCCTCTCTATGTCAGTCCTTTAAAAACACAACCCATGTGTGTTAGGATATGAAAAATACAATGCACAGGTAGCAGTGTCTTTTCCACTTTTGTGCAGCACATTTAAGCAGTTGCAGCTTCAGGCTTCTCAATCACATATCTTCAAGTAACTTGATGCAGATTTATGGCTTAAGAGGCTTTTCCATTATCTGCAGTCCAAGCCGTCCAACCATCAGTAAACTGTTGAACAGAATAGTTGTTATAAAAAGAGGAGGGTGAAGGCAAAAATCCCATAAAGAACAAAAAGGAAGAAAATACTGACATGATTTCATTTAGCTGAACTTCACCAGAAGATTTCATTTTTTCACAGAACTTGCCATGTAACATTTTTAAAACAATATAATCCACAAGTAAGTTAAATAAAATGCACATTTGATAATACAGACAAGAGCAAAAGAGAGGTGATTACCTGGCACCGGCAATTATCCCAGGCATTGCTTTTTTGGTGTTGTAAAATCTCATTCCCATAACAGTAGACAAGGTTCCAGACGCCACTGTTGAAACAAAGCCCAGTCAGAACCATTTGGCACAGAAGTACCAGTGCAACACTGCCACGCTTGGACACTGAGCAGCGCCGACCACAGACCTATGTGTACAGACAGGAATGCCTCCCTCCGTATGCACTGGATTTTCTTAAACAGTAAAGCTGTTCTTACAAACGTCTCAGCAACTCTGGTAAGCGTGCTCCACTGCTCAGGAGAAGCAATGAGGTCTTGTCAGGGTCACGACCACTGTCTGATTGCTCACAACCTCCAGTCCTCTGGAGAGATCACTAACTCTCCCTCAATTACTCCTTATTTGCAGATGAATTATTATTTCCTTGAACACAGGCAGGCTCGAAACTGCCAGAAGGCTGGGATGGTGACAGAGTTCACTATGTGGGAGGCAAATATTACAGTCCCCATTTCTCTGTGGCATTTTGAACTAGAAGGGGCACTAAATATTACAACTGGAAAGAAAACAACCCCACTTGAAAATACAAATTAGAAAACAGAAATCTAAAGGAACAAATTGAAAGAGTGATTACTCTCCTAAACATTACTCTAAAATATTTAATCTCTAAATCGGGAAAAGCAATCCCATCAATATGCATATAAAATTTACAGGGACATTGTTTCTTTGAAGAAAAAAGGCAGGTGGAGATGGCTGTATACCTTTCTCCAAAGCCTCAAGTTTGTTTGCATCAGACAGGGCAAACGGTATTTTAGAGACACTCTGTCAGGGTTCCATTTCTGGATTTCTACCCATGATGTACTGTGACCAACCTAAAGCTCTGCAGGAGCCACAGCTGCACATCAGAAGCAGGGCTGAGGAGGAATGAAGAGTTGTACTAGACTGTGACACACCACCACTTTCAACAGGTGCTTTTGAAGGCACTACATGCATCACATCAGGATACATGGAAGCTGCTCATCCTTCTTCCATGACACTGACTAAAAACTTGTGTCAGAGATGCACAGCCATGCACAGCCACTCCCATGTCATGCCAGAGACAGTTCACAAATGGAAATTTTGCTTCATATTGACCTGCATTTTACATGTCATTCCTTACTGATGAGGCAGTTTGGTCCTCTGCAGTATCTACCAGTGGCTTCATAGAGCCTTTCGGCACATTAGTCCTACTGGGTTAAAACAGCCTTAAATCACTGTAAAGCTATAGTATCACAACACTAGTAACACTGAGGAGTAGTTACAGAACTAGAGGGAACCTCAAGAGGTTATCAGAATACCCTAGTGCCCAAAGGCAAGATCAATTCCCAGCAGTGGTTTAACCAGGCATTACAGTCCTGCAGCACTGGAAGTCCCTGAGGTTCAACTGTTCTGTGCTTCATAACACTCTCCACAGTCATTTTCTCCTTCATCTGAAGAGCTAACTGCAAGATATGCCCACAGCTTCTTGTACATTCTACTGTAAGCAAGCAGAATAGATCATCGCCTCCTTTCTTTTACATACTTCAGACTGTTTCCTCCACAGTGTATGATGCATTGAAATATATACTGCTCTTCTGACATGCTTGTGCAAACCAAGATTCCATAAGGCGGCATACCACTTGTCACAGTGCTGTCACTATTGCAAAAATAGTGCTTATTCCATGACCACAGGCTAAAAATGCTGCTTCACAACCGAACATTTTCCATGCATGTTTTCATTAGTTAACACAGTGTCTAATCTGGCAGAGGAGATAGGTATTTCTCACCAACACTGGCTTCAAACAGGACAGCCCAGGTTTTAGAACCAAGTACTGTGCTTGGTACACAAATAGAGCCAGGAAGTCCTGTCCTGCCACTACTTACAGTTGTACAGATAAATGGGCACAGGTCAGATGAAACACGCTAGAAAAAAAAAAAGGTTACTGTTCCCACCGCTACCAGTAACGCTCAGTACTCAGGTGCCGAGCAAACTTACCGAGGGAAAGCCACACATTCTTTGGATCTTTGGACTGCTGGTAAGCACCTAGTCCCGCTAAGCCACCAAACAGAAGACCAGCAGCTAGTGAAGGGACGCTGCCTTGAATAAAAATAAATACAAAGCAGTCAGTGAAAGAACACATACAAAGTCACTCTGCACACCAAAGAAAGGCTACCCGCGGGTTCCCGTTATTTGTAAATCCGCAAAAACAGCCTAAACAGAGGACACTGCACTGGGTTGGGGTTGTCTTTAAAGATACTTTGCAGGCCTCAGCACGCACCGTTTCGGCGGCAACAAGGACTTAGCGGGGTTTGCGGGGTCACCGCCAGCAGCGGGCCGGGACCTGCGGCTGAGCGCCCCCGCAGCTCCGGCTGCCGCGGGCCTGGCCGGGACAGCCCCGGCCCCGGCACCCACCTGCCTTGGCGTAGCCGACGACGCCGCCCGCCGCCACCAGCGCCGCGTAGCCGAAGCCCAGCCAGTCGTATTCCATTTGCGGGCACAGCGGAGCCGCGGGCAGAGCCACGCCGACCTTGAGCCGCTCTCTCTCCCTCCCTCTCTCCCTCCTCCCTGCTCTCCTCCCCGCCGCGGCACCGCCTCCCCCGGAGGTCCCGCCCGCCGGCCGTGACGAGGGCCCGGGGCGGAGCCGCTCGCACCGGTCAGGCTTCGGGAGGTTTTACCTAATTGACTGCCGGTTAAGAACACGGTAGGAAAGTCAGAAATAAAGCAAAAACCCACCCATGCCGCTCTTTTTCCCAGGCTCAGCTGACATCACTTCGGACTGCCAGAGAATGGGGAGAGGCGGCTGCGGCCAGTCCATAGCGCCTCTTCTGCGCTGCTCATTTCTCCTCGCTCTCTTACCGTGCCCCTGCTTCTTACCGTGTCCCTCCCACGGAAGACGGTCCTGCACAAACTGCCCCAGCGTGGGTCCTTTCCACGGGGTGCAGTCCTTTAGGAACAGGCTGCTTCAGTGTGGGTCCTCTACATGGTCACAAGTCCTGCCAGCAAACCTGCTCCGGTGTGGGCTTCTCTCTCCAGGGGCTGCAGCTTCCACCAGGGAACATCCACCTACTCCGGTATGGGCTCCTCCATGGGCTGCAGGTGGAATATCTGCTCCACCGTGGACCTCCATGGGCTGCAGGGATTAGCCTTCCTTACCATGGTCCAGTTCTAGGCTCACTGGTGCAAGGCAGACTTGGACATACTGAAGCAGATCCAGCAAAGGGCTATGACGATGATTAAGGGCTTGGAACATCTTTGATACATGAAGTGTCTGAGAGACCTGAAACTGTTCAGTCTGCATGAGAAGAAGCTCAGAGGCATCTAAGTATCTAATGGGGGAGGGTAAAGCAGGTGAAGCCAAGGTCTTCTCAGTGGTACCCACTGACAGGATAAGGGGTAATGGGCACAAGT